AACAAACAATTCATACAACAGAAGTGACCCGGCTCCCTCTCAAACGTTCAGTGCATTTAATTATGCAACATGAAAAGCGCTCCCTCGCATTATTCTTAGCCCTGAAAGGGATGAGCCAGCTTGCTTCTGCACGAGAATGCGTTTCCTCCTGCACTACTGTCACAAACCTAGAAATCACTGGAAAGAAAAAGCCCTTTATGAAAACAGGTCTCTGTTTAAAAGCACCGTTTCATTATTATGGCACGGCAAGCTACATTTATCAGTCTGAATTCCTGAAAAGTAAAAAACAAAAAAAACTTGTTGCAAATTGTGCCAAACTCTTCCAGCCCAATGCCCACAGCCTCGTTGCAGGTGTATAAGGAAGCACTGGGTTCATTTCAGGACCTTTTCAAAAAACACCCTCAATTTCAGCCTCTGCAAAAGCATCCAAGAGCATTTTGTCACATTTAAGCTTGTATGAAATGCCATCCAGGGCATCCCCTGCCTTCCGTCCTGTGTTTCCTAGGACAGACTCCGGACTGACTGCAACTCCGTCCTACATAAGCAATGATGGAAAATGAGCAGACGGAGAGAACTGGAACCTTTAACATCCTTAAGACATTAAAAAGGGTGTGCCTGCAAAGGATTCTGGGTAAGACAGCATGACCCCCAAGCTTTGCTCTGACCTGGATGCATGTGTATGTCAAAGAAGGAGAGCATGATGAGATATGCCGAAACAAACACATTCCAATGTACCTGTTCTTGTCCAGATAAAGGCTGGTTTAATTCGAAACAGGAAGCTTAAGTTCCCCAAATCAAGTCAGCGCCAAAGCGGATGAAAGCAGGCATCTCTGATGCAGTGAGATTATTCATTAACAGCAGCCTTCCCTTGCGGACTGTTAGCAGGCAGCCAGCCTGCGAGCTCGTCTAAGGCAGACGCGACATGTGGTCAAATCTGGAAGGATCTCAGGCGGCGAGGGACATCTGAGCCAATCGAGGGTGTGGGAGAGAAGTCGAGGGGGCCACACGTATGAACGCACTCATCAATCTGGCCAAACTGATCGGCTAACCTTCCTGACAAGCCGGTCGCGAGCAGGTCACTGATCTGTCGGGCTGCTGTGCTTGTTCCCCCAAAGTAGCATTACACAAACCCCAATTAACGACATTACTGTACGCAACGCAGACAGATATCTACAAGGGCCACCAGCGGGCTTGGGTGGCATCTCGTTTTTCATACTGTCATGTCGTCCAGACATTATACCACGCTATACCATTTTTTCACCACCGCCCCGCTTGGCTAATTTCGTCGGCACGATTTCAAAATACCACAGTATACCATATTACCGTAATAGAGCTCAAGCCTAGCCACATGGCTAATGGCGATTTGCTAGCGTCTGTAAATAAGTCCACCAGCACATTCCTAACAAAAGACACTCCAGTTTATAATAAATAAATAAAATTAAATGACATTAAATAAATCAGCTAGCAAGGTACATCAACAGGATATTTTATCCAGCAATGGCGAAAGATAGGTGAATGTTCTAAATATTACAATGGACCAGTAAAGTAACAACAAAGCCTGCAATGTGTTTGGAGGGCAAGTCCTACACCGCATAACTAAAAGGGGAAAAGGTATTCAAATAGAAAACGGGGGTGATCCCATCACCGAGGCCGAACCCAGCCGGAACAGCCTCTCACTTTCTCACACGGCTGTCTCAGATCATCAGCAAATCATGTTTTTCATAAGCCAGTCTGACAGAGATGGTTATTTTTTAGTTGTGTTCAATCATGGAAGTTTTAAAAACGTCTAACCATAAAATCAGGGCCTTTTTTCTAGTTAATTAGCTGTGTCGAAACTCTGATTTGGTTTTCTAGATTAGTCCTGTCACAGACACAGGAAAACAGATAGTTGTTGTGTAAGCACACAGGCTTACTCCAAATACTGTTCACATGGTGATAGCAGAAGTCCCCACATGACAATTTTCCTGGATGCCTACAATTCCCAGCAAGCACTGTGTCATCATCCACTGTACTTTTTTTTTTTAACCAGGTGCTCATGGGAAATTGAGGATTAGCAACCAGGAAGGAGTAGGGGGAGAATCCCCACTCTTCATGCAAGTACCACAGTGTTTTTTTGCCAGCAAGTCAAACACGTCTTTTGACTGAAGTAGCCAGAAAAATCTGACACTGATGGAAAGGAAACAGAAGTCATGGAAGCCACAGATCCTGATGTCGCCTGGCTTCTCCTACAAATCACAGAATGCTCGGAGTGCCAGTGTAGCAGGTCGTGGGAATACAACCAGTGAAGAACAACACACACTACACACATGCAGACACAAATGAAATCTTTGGGAAGGAGTACAGACTTACAGTCGTTTAGAGTTTGTCTGAAAGTTTGAAATGTCGCAGATACATTAAGGTGCTGCAAACGGTGCATTTTGCTTGTTTTATTTATTTAGCGGATGTTTTTATATAATGTGCCGGACAACTGAAAAATTGCTCCAGTCCCTGGACAAATTGGAGTTAAGGGCCCATGGTAGAAGTCCTCGGCCAAACATGGGATTTGAACCAGTAATCTTCTGACCACAGGCACAGCGACCTAACATGCTGAGCCAGAAACCACACCTTTTGTGTACCTGCACACACATCTATGCGCGGTGTGGAACCGAGGTCCTCCCTCACACACTTTCTGGCTCTCCGGTTCCCTCAAAAACGAGGGAAAGCAAGGATCTGAGCTGGAGAGTCGTCCCCCCCCCACAAAAGCTGATCAGAAAAGGCAGCACCTAATCTACCACTAACGTCTAACAAGCACAAAGGACCTCAGGGAATCGAAGCGGAGCCCAGTTAATTTACCATTGGAGGTTGGGGTTAAGGCGTGATGAGTAATAATTTTCCTGAAAGAAATCACCTCTTCAAAGGCTGCGGACATCTACCAAGCACCGCAGACACACGGTGACGAGAAGACAGCTGTCAGAACAGCGTGTGGCAAGGCTCTGTCCCATCCCAGAACAGCCGAGACAAACAGTCACAGGAACTACTGGCTGCAGGGCCTGAGACAGTGTCAGCCAGTGGCCTCACTGGACCAACCAGGCTGCAAGACCATTTTAGACTATAAACACAAAAAGCGTGTCTCTAACTCTGCCACCCCCCACCCTGAAAGACCGAAACCCATAAAAACACACAATGACCACTAACACCCCGCTAACAACAAGGTTAGCATAAAATCAGAAGTGCTTTATTAGTGTACTGAGCACAACCTTAATGTCTTTATTTCATTTTAATCTGAGATAAGAAGTTCAGAATCCATACTGGTGTTAGTGTTTGTAGTGAACTATTAGTAATCTACACTTACAGTCAAAACTAGCACTGCCTTATATCCTTATGGATTTCGGATTAACCAAATTGAAGATCTGTTTACAAAAAAGTAAAGATCACCAAGAGTTACAAATATAAGATAAATCACTGTGGAATTATAGAATAAAATAGAGACAAAATGTACTTTCCTCAATATCCTATAATACAGAAAAAAAAAATTCTGGGATACTGTAAACTTAGAACTAACAATGCAGAATTGTGTTAAAAAAAATTCAAGTTATTCAGCATTACATGGGTAACAAGTTGCACAATCCCCACAAGTAGCAGCATGCTTTTTGTGACCAAAGCCCAAAAAATGTTCAAATGTTTTACCCCATATATGCCAGTAAAGTCCCCCCCCACCACCACCTTTTCCAAACAATTAAGTCACGTAATGTTATGGGAATGTCAGGCCAACTCTAATTATACACCTGAAAAAGGCAAATCTATAATAAATATTACACTTCCACGGACAGGCAGGAAGATGGAAGGCATGCAGGAACCCGATGTCCCGCAGATACTGTAAGTTGTCCTGGAGAAAGCTTTAGCTGCAGTTAATGTAGTTAAGGACGTGCCATTAACTGCCAGGTGTTTCCGAGGTGCGAATAATGGTTAAACATCTCATCCCCCTTCTGATACCATTGCGGTGGCCACAATAGCCCCCCCCCCCCCCCCCCCCACAACAACCCACCATGGGTGTCAGTCATAAACGACGATTCCCGCGTGTGCGCTAAAATAACCTGCATACGTAGGCATCACTAGCTACAAGGGTAAACTGCTTTATTTCATTTAATGTCCCGTCCAGTCTCCCCCGCAGCCATCATTAACCGTGCTTATTAGGAGGCCCAGTGGATCAAGGTGCATTAGCCCTACTGTCACATTTTCACATGACACAATAAATAGATGCATGTATGTATGCATGCATGTACGTATGTATGCATATATGCACGTATACATGTATGCACGGCTCCCTATTACTCCAAGACAAAGCGATGTTGTGCACTGGCATAACCCGTCTGAAACCGTCTGATGCTCAAAACAACATAAACAGCCGGCTGTCCCCCCGGTGCGGATATTCAAGAAGAACAACAACAGCCACCGATGTTACAAGTAAGGAGATCAGCTGTTTAAAAATAAAAATTAAAAAATAACACGGGGGCATTTGCTCGCTACATAAAATGGATACACGTCAGCAATGCACTGACATGATATAAAAGCGTTTTTAATTCCTCATTTGCTCCAAAAGATCCTTTTCAGTGGCTTGAAAACTTATCTTAGACGCTATTTTAAAGAGCCCCGTGTCACCGCTGCGAGCGGATCGGACAGCGAGGGGAGCCGCAGCTGCAGGAAGCGATGGAAAAAATATAAACGAATAGAGAGAGAAATATAGGCCTAGTAATAAACAGTGCGTCTGGCAGCTGCAATGAGCATGTAGCGCATAATGAAGACCGCCGCGCACGCTCCCACAAAGCCGATGTGCACCGCCATCACAACGCGCAATATCGCTAATATTCATCTGCGTCTCCCTGCATCCCCTGCAATGCATCCTCGCCATCCGTACTAGCAGCCGGCGTCTCTTCGGAGCTTTACATCCCAGCGATCCTCCGCTCGCTTATCCGTCTCCTTTCGGCCCCCCTCGCCAAACCCTCGTCCGCCCATTAGCGTACCTCCTCCGGAATGTCCTGGTGGCCATCGGGGATCCCCCCGGAGCATACGGGATCCAGGCCGGCGGCTAGCTCGCCCAGTCCCCTCTCCCGCTCCGGATCGCGGTCCATGGCGTCTCCGTTGAAGACGGGCGGTGGGGACTCGGCGCTGCTCAACGCCGCCATTTTAAACTGCGAGAAGCGAGTGGAAAATAATAGTGAAAAAAAAAGAGAGAGACAGAGGCAGAAACGGGAGGGGGAGACAGAGAGAATCAGGGGACGCCTGAGGTCGGAGAAGCTAAATGGGGAGCGCTTGGGTACCAATACCCATCCGCTCACATTATTTTTAGTGTCTTCATGCGGCACCTAAAATCTTACCGTGCCGTAGTTACACTTACTAAGAATAAAGTTACAGTAACTTACAAAGCGAGCGCTATAGTTAGGCAGCTGCTTTCATTCTGGAGTTATAACAATAAAAAGGAATAATATGACAATCATTTGTAGGCTACTTTCCATTTCACGTTATATTTTTTTATTTTAATAGTACATATTATTATATTAAAATATTATAGTACCACTCATCCATATTCGTAATACTTTTTATGCAGTCATGATATTAAACTCAATATTTCCACAGATGTGAATATATTAAATGACCGTGTTGCGGGTGTATTTAAGTATACATAATAAATAACACATTTTCAAACTTTATCCTGATTTCAGCACAAAATTGTTTTTTTTTTTTTTTTGGTAGTTTTCTTTCCTGCAAGGGAAAATTAGTCTGGTCTCGTGGAGTCTTGGAAAAGCTTTAAAAAGCATAATGTAATGAATAGTTGGGAGTGATCGGTAAATGGTTTCTTCCTCTGTGTTGGGAAAAGCATTTCGTACAAACGACGAACTGCGTTGAAGTGTCACTTTGGTGAAGGGGACCGAGGATGAGTGTCGGTACCGCTCCTGTTTATCATATACGCATTAAAAACAATATATTTACCTGTAGCCCTATGGGAATTTTGGGTAACTGATTTCTAAAGTTAATGCATCTAATTTGATGTTTATTCTGTTTAATTACTGTTAAAGTGTCAACCTCATATTGTTAAAAAATGTGTAATTTATGTTTATATGTAAAAAGAATTAAGTTAGTTTAAAAAAAAAAAAGTCTACCTGGAGTGACGTACTATTTAATCAGCCGGGGGGGTAGTGAGAGAGGAGGGGAGAAGGGGGACGCGGCAGTAACCGAAAAAGCTAAGCAAAGTTAGTAAAACACGAACTTTATATTTGTGACGGTGAATGTGAGCGATAAAGGGAGAGTGCGTCGCTTAAGGACATTCTACAGACATTGTTTAGTGTTACTGCGGTGTTTGAGTAAAATCCCGGGAATCCTGGGCCAAACCCAGCTGGCTAACTGGAGCTTCCAGGGGCTGCGCGAGCGAGTCGCACTCCCGCCCTACGCCGACATCCCTGGTGGGGGGTGACGACGTCCATCCTCATCCTCATCCGCTCCGCCACCCCCGCGCCGCCCGTATGAGGACGCCGACAAGCCGTCATAACGGTGCGAGTTTATCTTTCTTGACGCTTTGACGCGAAGCAGCCAGTTATCTAATGTCTCCCCGCACACCAGCCTCGCTTCAGGCCTGCATTGCTGACTCGATGGGGTCCCCATTCCACCTCAGGGCTTCATTTTATGTTTATGTCAGTTTAGTATAAAACTGTCAACTTTAGAGTTGTATGTGCATAGATTTAGGTTATTGTCTTTACTGAGGTAACTTCTGTGAAGTTACATTGCCTGAAAGAATGGCTAAGTTTCGAACGAGCTTACTCAAATAAATCTTTTTGGTTTCGCAAGCATATTTGATTTAATTTATTTTATATACATATTCTCAGTAAACAGTTAAACTTTATTACGTTTGTACATTTTTTTTCCTTTTGATAATTCTCTGGTAAAGGTAACATCTGTTTTAAAAAGGGGTAAAAGAGTGTTACATTACTGATTAAAACTCATTGAGGTAAGCAATACTAAGTATGACAGATAACTGGGAGAGATTAATATATTTAAAACTTGCCTTTCTATGCTGTCCATCATCAGTTGATAGTAATACCTTTCAAATTATTCTAACTTCCTGATTGTCTGTGGTATATAATTATTTACATTAGTGCATTGATTAATATTAGAGAGAGATCTCTTGCTTCAAAGAAAAGGATTGGGGGGGGCGCACTTCAGCACATAGGCAGACAAGCTAGGGGGCGCTATATACCGTTTAATAAAACGGGGTATAAGAACAAACTTTTGAAATAATGGTTATGATTTATAATATTAAATATCAGTATTAATGGTAATAGACCTAATAGCTAATAGTCTCTTTTTTTCTTTTTAGAGAGTTGATTGAACTTAAGAGTAAAAAAAAAAAAAACGTTGATTGAACGTTTCAAGAGTATGAAATAGCACAATCTGTTGGGGGGGGTGGTTAGGGTTAGGGTTGGGTCATGCCTCTGCTGTGTGTGGAGTTGACCTGTTCTCGCTGTAAAGTGAGGGCTTCCTCTAGGCATTCCGGTTCACTCCTGCAGTCGAAAGACATGAGGTCAGTGTGTAGTAGTGTCCTGTCTGGGGTGTACCCCTGCCCCGTGCTCTGTAGGATAGGCTCCAGTACCCCCACCCCGACCCTGGACCCTAACCATTACTCGTGGGTAGAACACAGATAATCTGTTAATATAGAACAGGGTTCTTCAAATCTGGACCTCGATTCCAAATCCAGGCCTTGTTTTCAGTTCTCCCAGGTAGTTAGTTTAATAATTACTGCTCTGTGGCCTCTTCCATTGAGAATGAGGTCTAAACTACTTACATAGACAAAGTCACACATAAAACCCACACAATATCCAGGGCTGGGAGTCATCCTCTCCTGGTTTTTAAAAAATATGTTGGATAATAATAAGTTTAAGTATCCTGTTTTACCTCCATTATCTGCCTTCTGTCTGAGTCTTCAGCGGATCTCTTTCATCTGTGAATCTTACACTGCCTTGACTGATGAAGGGTAGGATTCATTCAGTGAGCGGCATTAACAGAGAACAAGCAGCAGTCTGCTTGAGCGATGGAGAGACTCAGAAAGGCCGATTCTTCTGAACACACTGACAAATAAATACAAGAGCACCTTTTTAAAATGAGAAGTACAAATACAAGTATAACTATAACATTCATATTAATCATTTGCATGAATAATCTACCTGAAAGAACCGACTCTGTTATGAACTTTAACATGAATGGATGGTTGAATTATATATAATGTATGTGTATATATAAATGGCACAGGACAGGATTTTGGGTTGACTTCTCTGGTAGAAGGGCCTGTGATATGTGGACAGTCCTCATGTAATCAAAAACCAAACCACAACATGCGTATAAAGCAAATATATTTTTTTTAGAAGTGCTGGAATAGGAGATACCATTTATTTGAACATTATGACCTGGCATTTTCAAATAGTTATTGGTTCAGTTTCCAAGATGATCCATACTGCTGTACCTTTACTTCACAGGCCAAGTGGCATAAATTGGGTATATTGTTAGTATTCCGAGTCACTCTGGATGAAAGATTCTTATAAAATATTTTTAATCACTACTTCTTGTCAACAGTGGGATAGTGTTTGGCAGGCGTGTGTGTGAGTTGATGCTGCCTGAGCACCCGCCTCTTTTGCCTGAGAGACTGAAAGTTCTCCGCTTCTGAGGGTCTAAATGCCCCTTTCCCATCACCTACGATCACGCTCAATTTACAGAGGGGGACTCGCTCCCTGTTGGCACCTGCCTGTCGGAAAGTCTCTGCACGACACTGGTACTTACAGCTTCAACTCTGTGTATGGAGTTGGCATGTTCTCCTAGTGTTGTGTTCAAAGACATTCATATTAAAACTTTAGCCCTGTATCCTTCGGAAAGACACTAAAGTTAAGAAAACTGTAGGACTCAGTAGAAAAAGTATTTAATAATGATGTCATCCATTCTCCCGTGCATCTCCCAGTTTCTTATCCAATGCAAGGTTGCAGCATGAAGGTGTCTTCTACAGTAGAAAATACAAAGAATTAAACATTGCTTGCTGTTCTAAATATATTTTGGGTGTCATTTTTATGCTATCCACCAGGGGGTAGTAATAGTACCATAGACCTGTAAATAGAGAGTATTTGTTTTCTGGGATGTTTAAAGTAAGGTAGTTAAGGCTATTATGTAAATGTACATCCACTGCATTGAAAATATATTTTTTAATACATCAGATGTCAGAAATCACGAAGGTGAATCGGATGCTTTAGTTTGGGTATTGTAGCTGACAAGGCAAATACATAGACGTACTATAAACCTTTGAGGAAATACATTTGTCTAAAAAGAAAAAAGACAAATGATGTAAAAAATATTTAAACTCTACCATGAAGCTTATCTTCTGTTCTTATGTGATAGAAATCAGAGGCTTGTACTACTGGTTAAATACACATTTTCCAGTAACTATGAAATGTACCAGGAAGCTCAGCTGGGAACACTATTGACTCCCACCTTTGAGGTTGTGGGCTTGAATCCTTCCCATACTCAGTGTGTGTGGGTTTGCATGCAGTTCCTTCCTCTACACTGGCTTCTTCACATAATTCAAAAACATCTCTAAACTGCCTTGTGAGGGGCTGGTATTCTGTAGACTCCAGCCCCACTGTGCTGAATAAGCAGTGGATGAATAGATGACTATCGATGAAACAAGAAAAAGAGGGGTTTTAATTCTTGATAATGGAGACTGAACGTTTATGCCGGTGTTTCCTGCATGCAATCCCTGACTGAGTGGTTGCAAAATGCTAATCCAGACGTCACAGTTAACGAGAGCTTAAAATCGCAGCTCCTTGAAATTACAAAAATCACAAGCATGCAATTGAAACAGGAAAAAATGCAATTAGAATGCTTTAGTTTTCCATGCCCACTAAAACAAACTAATTCAAATTAAAGTTCAACTCAAATGATATTAATCAATCATTCCGTTATTTCATTATTTTGTTGGGATAATTATTTCCATAGGATAACTCATCCTCAAAATGTCATGTTCAATAGCAACTATTTGATCCATACCCCAAAAATGCTAATTGTTTAATTTCAATTCAATTTAATCCAATTAAGAAACTTTTTGTCCCCGAGGGGCAATTAAAGGCACACTGGGCAGCTGAACGAAAGACATAATGATGTAAAGTGCAACAGTATTTAGAAGATGCTGTGCAAAGTTGCAGTCAATCAGGTAGATGAGAAGCACACAAGCAAAGGTACAAATTGGTACAGTACTCTATTTTCTGACTGTGATGATAAAGAGGAGCGTGGCTTCAGACACTACCAGGGAAGCACTCTGCTGGGACAAACATGCACACATTGTGTCAAGGAAAGAGCTGCACTAAACCATATTTTTAATTGCATTTGCAATGCTTTTTTGCCAGAAAGCAAAGTGGATTCATGTAGATGTCTTCATGAAGTGCTTTAGGTTAAGTCTCTACACTGTCAGACAAAAGAGTACCAGTTTGTACCTTTGCTTGTCACTGGGGCTGTACCCTCAAGGGTTTGCCAATTGTGCCCTTAGCTGTAGGTACTTGTACCTTTTAAGATACAGAAATGTACTATGATAAACATTTTTCTACCATTGTGGGTACATTAATGTTGTCAGAGTCCATTTCTGTACCTTAATTTAGACTAAAAGGTGCATTCTCCTACGGCTAGAGCACAACTGGCAGACCCTTGAGGGTACAGCCCCAGTGACAAGCAAAGGTACAAATTGGTACTCTGTTTTCTGACTGTGTTGATAAAGTGGAGTGCAGCTTCAGACACTACCAGGGAATTTATAAGCACTGGGAATAAAAGAGCATCAGATGCTCTGGTTTCAGTCCAACCCAAACTGCTTCTTCCTCCACTAGAGCCAAATGAAAGGCAGGATGGTTATGCAGTTTTAGTGGAGCACTCTGTTTGGTACAAAGCCACAAGTACTCATGCAGTCCAAGGACATGCAGTCACTGTGTGATGGTTAAAATCCAGAGATTTAAAAACCAACAATACTGAAAGAAAAGTGGAGTTAGAGCACAAAATTAAATAACATAAGAGCCACGTCACAGTAAATAAATTATTTTTCGGCTTCCCGATAGTATTTAGTGCTGTGAGTACACTTAAGAGAAAATATACTGTATGTTTTATATACAATCAAATAAACGGGTTAAGACTCGCGTACAATACTCTAGTTAAAACAACCGTATGCAATCTTAAAGATCCTTACTAGGGGTCACTCAATGTGTTACAGCATGCCTAGGGACTGCGGAAGGAAATACATAAAATTAATTTATATGATGGAAATACTGGTTAGGCTTAATCTAGAAACAATAATACAAATTCACAATGCATACTTCACTAGTGATAATATCTCGCAAGTTAGGAAATTCGATAACTATCTCCCTTTCAACTATCGTTTGTCTCATTGTACCGCTAAAACACAGAAATACACAAAATTACACTGAGGATTTTCTACACGTAAACTTGACTTTAAGCAACGCATATGTCCATAATCATGTCAGTTTGGTCAACACGCGTTTCCCGATCAGAATGCGCCATCCGAATTATCTTTCCGGTCGTCAGACAGTGTGAAATATGTACCTCCTATGTAGAATAAAATAATACAGCATTATACACTTTATTTAGAAAAAATGTGACATTTTGTCCAAAAAACAGGAAGTTTTATGCAAGGACTGACATCCAAATTTTCAAATACACGACTCAGCGTACCGATGCACTCCAATTTATGGTCCGGACACGGAACACAAAACACAACATTTCAGTTCCGCCGTACCCGTCGTCTGCAGTCTACTCACAAAAAGGCATATTAAAATTAAAGTAAAAATCAGGTTTTTTTTTCGTTAAATGTTGTTTCCTTTTAAAAAAAAAACAAAAAACAGAGAGGCAGCCAAATAATTTGTCTTGCGTATTAACAATAACAATCTATATTTTTATTTTAAATGAAATATCTGTTGCTAATTTTCTTTCATGTACGTTTTTGACAATGTAATCGTATTTATTATTATTATTATTATTATTATTATTAATAATAATAATAATAATAATAATGATAATAATAATAAGTGAAGTACACCACCAGGGGGAGCAAACGACGTTAATGGCACCTAACGGAGTCAAACCATTTTCACCGTATAATCATGGCTCATTTTCTAGTCTAAAATAATGCATGAGATCCACATCTTCCACACTTTTGCGTAAGTTCCTAGACACTGATCTGTCCAGCTGAGTATAACGCAGCACTTCCTCATGTCCCTCGGCAGAGCATCTATGAAGTGTGACTTCGCATAAAACAATTATTTACTTCTAAAAAATATATATCATTCCACAGCGACAACGGATCTGATTAAAATGATTGATTCATCTACGCTCTAAACTACCGGTTAGTTAACAAATTGCTACCAAATAATTTGCACTTCTCCTATTGTTTTATCTGTCTCATCTACTTGTGTATATGGTTTAGCTCAAAACCAGATTATTTCCTAAGACAATCTCTATAAACGAAACAGATTTCAGTTTTCATGTTTTATTTTACATTTTAATGTATCCACTAGGTGGCACTGTGGCGATAGGCAGAGCTAAAAGATTATTGGTATTTCATGCACGTTTTCCTTTCCAAGCATAGAATGTCTCCATTAACACAATTCGGGAGATAAGGAAAATATAGAAGATAATACATGTCCTCAAATAGCAGGAGACAAGTTAATATATTTTGTAACTCAGAGCAGAGGTGGGCAAGTTGGGTGCTGACTGTGAGCGGCTATGAGTTATAAAATCATGTCGGCTGAGAATACTGTGCATGAGCAAGTCCGTAAATACAAATCAGTGGGATAAACTTGGATTACAGAATGTCAGTGGATCCCAAAACCGTCGAGAAGCGAAAAGGACAGGGAAAGAATGGAAGACAGGAAGTGCTCAGATAATTCAATCATTTTTGTATTCTTTGCACATGTCTGTAGGCTACCTATTTATTGCATTTATGGTCATCATTTACTTTCATGGACTGAAACAAAAATATGGTGATTATGATATTTGTAAGGCTAGTGCAGTGATAAAAAATACCCAATATTCCTGGCACTGTGACTGAGTTATGATAGTGTGTTTCCGCTACCTGATGTGTGCAAGTAAGATTTCTGTCGTTCATGAACGATTCGTTCTTTCAGAACACATTTTAAGATAAACAAAAATATCTCATTCGCTGCGCTAATTCGTGAGTCATTCTACAGTTAGTTTAATGAGTGATACATCTTTCAATTGGTTCAAATGAACATTCGTTCACTTCAATGTGTGATAGGCCTGCATCTTTAAAGTCGTTCAGTTCAATGAGTGATGTTTCTGTAGTTAAAGTTATATATAAATTCAATCATGGACGAGATCAGAGAACTAGACCATCTCTTTCAAGAGAGAGTTTCTTTTGCCACACTCTGGTGTAATGATGTAGCCTACAGAAAGAGTCAATATTATTAATATAATGTAACTGACTAAAAGTAAAATATATTGGTTATATAATGAATATATATGTTTAAAATATATACAAATATAATATTTATTTAAATAAAGTAAATAAGAACGTAGGCCTTCTACACATATATGAGGACTACAATATTCATGGGTCACGTCAGAAGGTACCTTTATTTCAAAATATCGAAATAATGAAAATAATCCTGCTTTCAATCTGTAATTCCTGTAGCCCCTCTGTTGATTGCTGAATGAAGGCCAATGCTGAAATCATTTAGCTGATGGGACACCCCAGGGTTTCCAACCGCTTTCCCGAGGCTGCGCTTACTCTACACCTCTCGCGCCAGAAATGAGCAGATTGCTCTTCAAATCGTTTGGGGAAACTTTCCAAGGTTCCTTATTTCTACGGAGATACAGACCTCTAGTTACTTGTTCACATCCAGTCCATGCGGTGAGATAATAATGTGAATGGGTTGTATGTTGTCGCCCGTGAAAAAGGCGTGTAACAAGCAGCGGTAGTAGACAAGGGTATGTAAACATATACGCAAAGGTCCACATAGGTTTATCTTAAACCGGTTTTTGCTTTTGTCCTAAAATAAATTGTATGAAATCAACATGCGACTATTAACAACGCTAATTAACAAAGCTTGCAAACTTTTCCCCAACCCGCCCCCCCCGACTTCGTCTTTTGTTCAGATGGAGAGAAACTGTATTATGCTACTTATAATCACTTCCTAAATCTTAATGCAAGGTAATTAAATTGCTTAACTTTGTAATGTTCATTTTCTCTAACTGAAATCGCGCTGCGTGGTAATGTATCGACTGTCTGTTTTGGAGGTAATGATCCTATCGCTACCTACAGAGAAACATAGACTGAGCCACCCTAAGTGTAAGTTGCTTGCAAAGGCAAAGGGGACGAGAGGATGTATTCAGTGCCGTTTTGGACAATGGCCCCCTGCAGTGAGCTGATTGCTGCCCTGGCTGCATGTGATCGCAAATATAGGCAATGGTTTCAACTGGATCTTTTAGAAAAAAAGGGGCTGTAAAACCATATGTATGTGAGGTACAAGTAGTGTACTCGCCTATTTGACTGCGTCGAGTCACATATACCCAAAAGACCCAAATATATAGTGTCAGATATCGTTGTTTTCTATCGGTCATATTGAAAACCACTCTAACCAAATAATATGGGAGCATTTGCCATACCCAGAGAGCTGAGTATTTAAATGAATGGACGATGTTTGTATATCATTTAACTTTTATTTACCTGACATGTCCGATAAACGATATGTTTGATATATCCGTTGAAATGGCAACACAAATAAAGCGCGGCTGAGCATATTCAATGCTCTCACGTAAATATCCTACAATTAACTTATAATACTGACACAGCTGGACATCAGCGAGATGATGAATAATTCATCGGCCTCTACTATCAATTGGAATCGGACACTCATACTGTCTATGGCTTTAAATAATGCACCGCTACTCCCGTGTCAGGGGATTAATAGTACTGAGCGAAAAGACGCCGCTCCGCAGGTGGGTGTGGGCATATCGGATGCAGCGGAGCGCATCTGCCGAGCAGAAGAGCACCTTTCGCCTTCCTTTCGCCTGGATGTAAGCAGCGGTGTCTCTTTAAGAAGGTGCTTTAATAAGAGATGAATTTCACGTTGACTGCATGACATCACCACTGTATCTTTCCAAGGGAGAAGGATCTAGACAGAGGCGTGTAGCCTAACCGCACCGTTTTAACCGGGCATGGTCCTCGGCTGAGTATTTCCTCGTTTCCTCGCGTAGTTGCAGGTCATTATGATCTACGGACCCACCTACGACCTTGCTTGAACGCCGTCGTTAAATGAAACAAGGCAATTCATTACAAATGGAAACATTTGTGCTTTCTTAGAGGGAATCGGGGGCGATCGGCTGTTTTCAGAGAATTGTACATTTCCCGTCCTGCTTAGAAATTAGAGAAAGCGATTAGTGAGCAGCCGGACGGTGAGCGATACCTATTGTCGATAGACAGGTCTTGTATAGACCAAAATTTGGATTCCAGCTACCTTAAGTTGTAAAAAAAAATATTTATTCATAGGCCTGCATCTCACTGTTTACGGATACGGCAAGCAAATTCAGGTTTCAAATGGTGAGTTGCATGATTGTTTTAAAGGAAAACAATTGAGAGCTTTTGTTTTCCATGTGGTAATAGTGAAGACCGACTTTCCTGACGCCATTGAATTGATTCTTTTTGGCATTAAGGTTTAATGTGCATTTTGCATCGTATTTATGGAGCTACGTGCAATGTAGAACGCAAATTTGTCCCCTTATATAGGCGATAATCGTTTTTGTGTAGGTAATATTTGCAATGCTTTGTAAATCTAAAAACGACGGGCACAGTGTAAGTACATCAACATGTAATTTATATCTTGGCTTATTTTTGTATGTCCATATTCAGCGTTTTCGTCCATGCACAAACGAGCATGAATACGCGATCCTAGGAAGTCCATGCTAATTGCAGAAATCCAGAAGTAGGGCTGCTTAGCCAAAACACTGAGGGGTGCGGTGGCGGACTATCTGCCGACAACAACACATCAGCTTCACTGCGCAGGATCCGTCGGGCTTCCAGCCCAGCGCTGCCTCGACCAGCACTTTCGTGTAATATTGTGGCTTTTCGAAGCACACATTTGCCATTTGTTTAGGGTTGTTTAATAGCATAACCACCCCCACCTCAACCACAACCAACAAGAACAACTGATAGGCTACAACAATAATAACAACAACATTAATAATAACAGTGATAATAATAATAATAAAAATAGCATCAGAATTCTTATGTAACGATTGTATTATTTATAGATATTGATCGTTTGACTATACAGGTTTATCTTTTAGTCACATATTTGAATCATGTACTGAGTAAATATAAATAGAACGATAATGACATTTTATATTGCCTGATTCCTGCATCTGCTTTGTTCTGTGTTTCTTTTTTGTCCAAAGGTTGTCTACGAAGAGGAGCACTTGCGTGTGGATTTTCCACATCTCAGTTCAGTTTAGACAAGCTGCAAAGGAAGGGCTCCGGGATTGATGTGAAGCGGGGTATGAGATAAGCATCTTTTAAGTCGCCCGGCAGCCGCGCAGCCGCCGTAGCTCTCACTGAGACCCAGCCTACGGCTCACAACGTATATGAACTTGGCTGGCATGTTCAGCCCATCGGTGCTGGCTGTAGGCTGCGCTCGGTCAGAAGACTGAAGGGGGTGTCTGAGCGGGCTGCACGCAGGGGAGCTGTCCGCGCTTCCGTGGTGCTGATGCGGCTCTGAAAGAAGCGAGCATGGCTGCCGGGAAGCTGCTGCTGTACGCCGGCCTGTCCCTATCGCTGTGTGCCCTGGGTATGCTGGCCGTGGCGATCTGCTCCAACCACTGGTACGAGACGGACGCCCGGAGATACAAGGAGCGCTGCAGAAGTTTCTCCAACCGGAGGAACGACCCGGGCTTTATTTACATTCCCAACAACAGCCTCCCGCTTCGAGCGAGTAGGTCCAGGCTGGATCGCTGGGAGGAGAAGCTCCTGCTCACCCGCAATCGGAGGCAGCTGTTCGCCATGAGCGCGGCAGACGAGTGCAGCCGGCAGTACAACTCCACTAACATGGGGCTGTGGAGCAAATGTCACCGGCAGGGCTTCGATCAGGACATCGAGGATCTCATTCGTAAAGGTAGAGCCACCGTGCGTGCGTGAATTGCATCAAAAGCAGTGATCGTCAGGCGGTATGGTCATTAGATTCAGGAGGAAGCATGAAATCTATGCGCGAATTTGTGTTTTATGGGAAGAAAGATGACAAGTAGTGTTTCTCCCTGTACCACGAATCTTACACGCAAGTAAGTTGCCCGAAACGGCACTGACGATAGAAAACCTTTTAAAGGATTGACTGAATCTTCTAATTCTTAAAGCCTTTCTCTGATAACGGCACGCAAATTGTACACAGTTGTGCAGGATCCTTTTCTTTGTATAGTGGAAAGAAAACGTGTACAGAAAACACACAGTATACCTTTATAACGTTTGTATCATGTGGCTGCCCTTACCCTTGGAGTCTAAATAACATTGCAGCACTTTGAAAGAAGCGCACAAAAGCAATCTGTGGTTTCGCTGAAGGACGTTTCTTGCCTCCTGTTAATGTATATCTTTGTACATGGAATACTGCAGGAGGGAATGGCTCTGATGCCATTTGTCAGAAATCCATAAAGGTTTCACATGCATTTAAATGTTTCCTGTTTAAAGAAGGCAATTTTTTAAAACGTTCATTTATCACGGTCATCATGCTAAGATGTGGTGGAATGAAATCTTCCCAGTAGTGGAGTTGTATGGACTGTGGTGTGTGCAGGAAGGACTGTCAGTCAGTCACATTGCATTACACGCCGTGTTATTTGGAATTGCAGGCATTTTGTACTTTGGCCAAACTGGTCGCCAGTCAAGGAGCAGGGGTTTCTGGGTAACAGTTAAACGTTTGCGATTGGCTGTCGGCTTCGGTGTCAAGGCGTCAAGCAATGTGCACAATTGGGCTCAGAGATTGATTGGAAGTGGGCAGGGAAATGGCAAGATGATGTTAATGACGTTGGAGCGAGCCTAACATGGTCACATCTGCATAACAAAGCATGTCTCACTCAGAATGTTCTGGATGTGACATGGTAAAATCAGGTGTTTTCCAGCAGTGACATTCCACCCTGTTTTGAGTTTTTAAGCCTGGATAAGTGTGACTCTTAACAGCTACTGTGCTTGGAGGCTCTTACCAGAGTATCCCAATGCAGGCTGCCGTTGTGGTTTCCATTGTACCTTTTAGGAGTTGGTTTATTTCTATACTTTGTATTTATCAACTATCAAGGTACTCGGGTACTATGGCGAGTTATTATTATGCTTTTACATTTTGTGGTTTTGTGACATGGTTTATAAAAACTGCACTATTCAAAGGTACAACAGCAATTTCCCGATGTGCTATGAAGATTTGATGCTGATGCTTTAGTGATTGAGCATGTTTCTTTGTCTATGTGCATGTGTGTATATTTGTGTGTGTGTGTGTGTGTGTGTGTGTGCTTTAATAATACTCACAGCTTTTCCGCAACACAGTTTGCTTTGGTGTGTTGAGCCAGGGGTGGGATTTACTGGATATGTGCTAGCAAACTGTTTACTTTGGAGTGGAGAGCCCCCCCCCCCCCCCCCCCCAGTTAGAGCTTCGTGTAGAAAGAGAGAAGGAGAGAGAGAGAGAGAGTAGGGGTAGGCTGTCAAACATATCCATCTATCTTCTTCCCCACACCCCCACCATCTGTGCTCTCCATTCCCTGGGGAGGGCAATCCAGAAATGATCAAGACATTCAAAACATAACACCCAATAAGATGGAGCACAGCTCAGTGCAGGGGGGCAGGGGCATCTGTCATGTGGCAAACCCCCCTGGCAGGCACTCTGCTCTGGCTTTGCCCGTCTGAATCCAGGCCGGGATTCCCCTCTTCCTCAGGAGGGCTAATTTGGCCGCCTTGGGAAGCCAGTGAACTTACAATGGCAACTCGCATATCCCAGTACCCTAATGAGAAATCCCAGTGTAGCCTCATATGGACTGTGCGATTCCAGCTTTAATCTGTCTTTTCTTTCTATTTGGGCAAGTTTTTATCATCTATATTCATTTTGTAGTGGATCTGCTTTCTCTTTCTTCAGTTAGGCAATGTTTCCATTGCAGAAGGAGTTTAATAAAGAGTCTAATTATGTGTTTCCATTTAATCTATTTTATTGTTTCATGCCCCAAATTCTCTTTTCACACAAATCAAAATTTTCTAAAGAAGGTGAATATATCTGAACTATAGTTTGTATGAAATGTAGTAAATGGGTTAAAACATTCCACTTATTAGAATAATCCAGGTTTGTTTTAACCCCCTTGTTTACCACTAAATCACACAGACAATTTTGGTGCACTTTTCCTGCACCACTGCAAACCACCACAGGGCAACCCTCTGAAGTACACAACACCACAACACAAGCTACCAGAATATGAAAGGCCCTGCATATACCACCAGAAAGCAAAGAAAAGCAAACCACCAAAATACAGACCACCACAATAAAAATCACCAAGGTGCAAACCACCATAATATAGAGCACTACAAGATTAACCACTAAGGTGGAAACTGACGAAATTTGGACCAGCATAGCATAAACTACCAAGACGCAAACCACCACAATACAGATGACCATGGTTTAAACCACTTAGGTACAAGCCACCACAATACAGACCACCACAGCATACACCACTGAGGTACAAACCACCAGAATACAGACCACCACAGGATACACCACTGAGGTACAAACCACCAGAATACAGACCACCACAGCATACACTACTGAGGTACAAACAACCAGAATACAGACCACCACAGCATACAACACAAAAGTGCAAACCACCATAGTAGACTACCACAGCATAAACCACCAGAGTACAGACCACCACAGCATAAACCACTAAAGTAAAAACCACCACAGTACAGACTACCACAGCATACAACACAAGAGTGCAAACCACCACAGTAGAGACTACCACAGCATAAATCACCAGAGTACAGACCACCACAGCATATACCACTGAAGTGCAAACCACCACAGTACAGACCTCCACAGCATACAACACCAAAGTGCAAATCACCACAGTACAGATTACCACAGCACAAACCACCAAGACTCAACCCCCCAGAGTACTGACCACCACAGCATAAACTACCGAAATGCAAATCACCAGAATACAGACCACCACAGCATAAACCACTAAGGTACAATACAACAGAATACAGACCACAACTGCATACATTACCAAGGTGTAAACCACCACATTATAGACTACCACATCCTACCCAACTAAGGTGCAAACCACCATAATACAGACTACCACAGAAAGCTGCCAGAATATAAACCACCATGGTGCACACTTCCAGAATACAAAATTCCAGCTACAATACAATCCCCATCACAGAAATTATCTCAAACCAATGCAGCTGAGAATCTGCTCTTTTGCCATCCACTCAGTGAAGGAGCTCAGTGCTGTGTTAAAACATGGCTTTCCGCTAGACTGTGTTCCTAGCCCAGACACCCTTCCTCCAAAAGCACCTGCACACCTACATCTGAGATTTGATTATGCTGTTTAAACATTACGTTAAATGCTCAGAACATTTCACAGAAATAGGCTTATCAGGGGTGTGCGTTTGCACAAGATGTAGATCTAGCTGTTCTAAAAACAGACTAGACTGTTTACATTCAGTGACGGAAACTGTTACTATGTACGCAGAGTGCTTCTACCTGACTACTGTAGCTTCCTGAGTGTTAGCACAGTCGGGAGGGGAGCAGCGAGATGGATGGGGGTTAGGACTGTCTCGTCACATAAGGTACCGCTAACCAGCCCCAGTGCTTAGCACCCCAGGGATGGGGTATCTTCCGGCCGCAGTGCACATGATCACAGATCGTCTGCCACGCACTGTGTGTCATGCCGCTGCTGTCACACGCCACTGCCCACCCCCCCCACACCTGCCCACCCGCCACCCATTTGCTAGCGTTGATGTTTCGGCAGCTACAGCCGTGACGTCTCCACGGTGACGAGCCTCGGGTAGCAGCCAGTGCTTTGGGATACAGGATGTATTACAGAAATGTGAGACTAGATATGCTGATATTTAGGGATATTATTAGCTTGGTACTAAACTTGAGACAGTGGGAAAGATTGTATATTATATCAACATACTAGATCAGTTTCCATTCATCCATCCATCCATCCATCCATCCATAACCACCTACTCAGTACAGGGCTGCAGTGATCGTGGGGTTTATTTCAGGCAGCACACAGTATGAGACAGGAAACACCCCAGACTGGATGCCAATCTGTCACAGGGCACACACTTGCATACATGTTTACGGGAGCACACTGAACTACCTGTGGAGAGCATGCAGACGGAGCTGGGGGCGGGAATCGAATCCATAACCCGGAGGTGTGAACCTGCAGTGGCACCCACTTAAATCCCATGCGTAAGTAATAACTGTGAGGCCTAATTAAAACAGATGATAGGATGTTTTTTTGTTTTAACTGTGTTTTTTCTTTTGTTTTATTGGAATCAGAACTTTCATAATGTGTCTGTAACTTCCATTTTGCTAATTTATCTGCCACTTTTATCCAGAGTCCAATGTATGTGTGTCCCTGGGATATGAATCCATGACCTTTGCATTGTTAGTGCAATGCTCTACTTGTTGAACGACAGGAGCTTGAGGGCAAAAGAGTCTAAGGAATGATATCTCACACATATTACAACCCATACATGAAGCCTCACATGTACGACAGCCCTGTGGTCATGGGAGAGATTAACCTGGAAGGGTCATGTCACACAGGCGTGACGGACCAGCCAAACGTATCCTTCTTTCAAGTATATATTTTATACACTTTCTCTTAACTTGCTCATACATGTACTGCTACTCCTATTACTCATAATACTGCTACTCATATTACTACTACTATTACTATTACTACTACTACTACTACTAATAATAATAATAATGATAATAATAATTAATAATAGCCGCTTGATGAATTTACAAGATGTAGCATGTAATAAAGGTCCAACTGGAGAAATTCTGAATGTAAGATCAGTCCATCTGGCGGGGGCTGGGGTTGCGGGGGGTGTTGTGCAGCTGCTGGGTAAATG